AAAATGCTAGAGAAGAAAGCCATACTGAGGAAGAGGAGAGGCTTTGATTCAGCTTTTGTGTCTGGTGGGAACATTTTCTCAAAATGTAGGTGCTATTTCCTGTAATCAAGGGCTTTGCAGAGCCTGATAATCATTTCCCAGCTGTATCATTTTGGTGAATTATTTTTTAGCCTTGGGTTATTTCATGACTGGTTTTGCATATTAAGAATGGGAGAGGATCATATTCATCTTGATGATAGAAAACAGGGAATAGAACTCCCACAGCTCCCTCTCCCTTTCCCTCCACCTTGTGGAAAGTTTGGCTTTGTGCTAAAGCGTGAAAAAAGCATTGACTGCAGTATGTCAGGCATATTTCAGCTCGATTTGTGTCAACCCTAATAAGTCAGCTGACAAGGTAATAAATTGGGTGTCTGTTCAAGACCTGGCACCTGTACAGGAAATAAAAGGGGATTTCAGTTGCAGGAGGTTTGCTTTGTTTTGCAAATGGACCTTTTCTCAAGGCTCCTCTACCTCCTCCCCCCTTCTCCTCTTTACTGAAATCATGTTATCAAAATGTTTATTTCAATTGTGACTCGAGCCAGTTTTTCATGTGGAAAAGAAAGCTCTATGAGTATCCTTGGAAGTGGAAATCCTTATGCTTTCCACTCTGAAACAAAGGCTTACAGAACATTTAATTATTCATGTATCCTGCTGTTACATATATGGTCTGAATAATTTCAAATTATTGAGGAGAAACTGCCTTTGTTCAGCACTTTGAAACTTTACATTCATGTCGTTTGAATCAGGCTAGGAAAACTGAATTATTTAACCCAGGGAAACTGTATTAGTAATATCTCACTATTTTTAATGATAATATAACCTTGTGACCAGGGTGTCTTAACATGTTTCTCTCTGTGTCTGACCTCCCAAGGATGCAAGCCTGCTAGAGTTGTTGAGAGCCAAGCTTTTGTAGGTCCAGCTGTAGAGCTGTGTTTTTAGCCCAGGGGCCCCAGGTCGGTTCCCAGTGTGACGTGCGGTGATGACTGCAGTAGCGGCGAGAGCTGAGGCAGTTTCCTTGGGGTCTTCACCTTCGATACACATATCTTCCTGCATGCTTGGAAGAGACATGGCAGCTACTGTCTCTGACCCTTTTCCCTTCTGGTGACTGTCCTGGGCATCATGAAAGAGGCTTCCTAAAACTTTGCTTTCAGGCTCTAAAACTGGTCTGTGAGTTGAAGGAAGCAAAATGGGACATTGTATTCTTTGAAGTGGGAAGCTGCTTTTTTTTTTTCCAATTGAATTTCCTCCACCTTTTCCCTCCTTCATTATCCCGTAGGGATCTTGCATAAGTAGATCTTCATTTCCACATGGAGAGTTCATCTCCCAGAATTTCCTTCTTGGACTTTTTTAATTAGAGGAAGTGATAATCTGACCCAGTGGAAGGAGAGGGGGGGAAAATGGTTTATTAAAACAAGTATTTATCACCTTTGAGTAGAGTATGTATGAACCTCAGAAACAAGGAGATGAGAGCTCTCTCTCAAAGTCAGAATAGTTGCTTAAGTGTGTGCTTTGCACATAGTAAGAAAATTTTCAGTAGAAATGTTAAAAATCCAGGAATATAAATCTATTCAATGTATATAATAAGGTTTTCTGTACAGTCTGTCTGTTCTAGGATTTATTACTCCTTATACAGAGGATTGAACTAGATGAAAAAAGTCTTACCTATCTGTTTCTGTCATATTTATGGTTAAAACCTAATATTTAAATGAGCAAACATTTTCTTAAGTTCTCTTCAGTATTTTCAAGAAGTGAAAATGGAACTTGAGGGAGAGAAAAAAGGGGCAATATAAACCTTTAAAACTCCAAGTGAACTTTCAGAGTCATAATTGAATGCAAGCTCTGGACTTTCCCATTCATCACACTGTAAATTTTTAAAAAATACTTAGCTAAGCAACTCTTCTTTCTCCAGCATTGCATAGTGATATGATGGATTACTCTAAATTAATTACAGTAATCAGCTAGTGTTATATGCTGTAGAGTTGTGATTCAAGCATGAAGGAAAGAATGTACAGCAAATTACTTATATAAAAAATGTGTTGCAGGGTTAGCTCAAGTTTTACACTTTGGCCTCAGCCTGTGGAAAAAAAAAAAAAAAGACTCAAGAGTGAAATACTGAAAGCTGATCAAAAATGGAGGAAATGTACCAGTTCACATATCTTTGGATGTACTGCAAAGGCATTATATGTTAATAAAAGTGAAAGAATAAAGTAAGAAAACAGTACCTAATAATAACTGATACTCTATGTTGCAAGAGGTGTTTTAAATTTCCTGGTCATTGAAAAGATGTTAAGAAATGCCCATTTCTTTGTGTTTGAATAATATCAGCTCCCTTCTAACCTGTTGTGAAAGGGGTTGAGAATTTATACTGAACTTTACAGATGCCTCATGAGATGAATTGCAAAAATCTGGTTGGACACATATAATCTTCTTTAAAAATATTTATAGAACACAGCTCTTATGAAAATTAAACATGTTCCAGGTGTGTATGGTCCAACTTCTGGGCATAGCTAAGTTGGTTTTGAAGTGGTGGATACACCTGTCATTGCTAGTCAAGAGAAATTCTTCATCTGCCAGTTGCTGAAATTAAACTTCGTGGGTTTGTTGTGTTTTGTTTTTGTCCGAGAGGAAAACGGATGATTGTAGTAAAGGTAGGAATGAGTTGCAGGTACAATGTGGCAGCTAGCTCTGGAAAAGGTACTAGTTCTCTTCTTCCCAAGCAACAACTCCTTGTAATGCTTCAGCTTTTTGGGATAAAGTGGTGGATGTCATACTATCTGCTTGCAGGCTAGTATTTGGAGCTTGGGATTTTCAGCTGACTTTGTTCCTTGTTAATAGAGAAACTAGCATCACAGAAGCTCAACATGTGTCCATCTAGCCTTATTCAAAACACTGTTATGGGAAGAGGTGCTGATGCCAGAAGTATAAAAGCTCTGAATGGATGTCACTACAAAAATACAGAGGCAACCACAAAGTTCAGTTGTAGCAAGCTGAAACAGCCATGTTTGCTGAGGTTCCCTCATGTTTCCGTGCAGCTATCCCAAAGAACAGGGCATGGCCAGACTGTTTTCAGGGATGTTTTCCAGGTGTATGAAACAAGGTTTTAGAGGAGAAGGAGTATAATATGACCTTTTTTAGTTTTGCAGATTCAAGTATTTTGGGGGCCATACTGTAAAATATGTAAAAAATAACCTAGCAGAAAAAAAGGAAAAAAAAAAAGGCAGAGTTTGGGAAGAAGTACCACTGAGAAGCGTCACTGAGACAAGAATGAGCAGACGTGGACAGAGGGATATATGGAGACTCTTTTAGCTCATTTCAATGTAAGGTGAAGTTCCAGGTGAGACTAAACTGAGAGATGTTGGTCTGTGACAGTCTTTCAGCTGAGGTTTTGCAAGGCTGTGACACCTATGTGCAATCTGTTACCACCTCTATTCAAGTAGTGTCTTGCAGGTATGCCAGTTGCAATCTCTATTTGAAGTTCCCTGCATTTGGATCCCTTAGTCTTTCTTCAACCACGAATATGATTTATAGATTTCTAAAATCTTGCACAACTTTGCACAAAGTTGTTGTTCTGCTGATACTTCCCCCATGCCTCTCCCCTCCAAATATACCAGCAGCAGAACATCTGAGAACTAATTGCACTACTGTGTGTAGATAATGGTGCTAATGATAATCTTATTTCTGACTTGTAGGCCCTAAACTGAGGTGCATTTAATCCACTGACATATAAAAAAAGATATGTGTGACTTTCCTACAATTAATATCTTTTCCCGACATTCTGCTTGCTGCTTTTCAGAGGCTGCCTCAGTTCACCAGTCCCACAAGAATTTTCAGCAACACAGCAAAGGAGGGTAGCAGAAGGGGGTGTGAGGAAGCTTCTACAACTCATGCTGTAGACTACTCTCTTCTACAAAAATGCCAGTTTAAACATACATCAATCTGCATCTGAGGCACCATTTCACAGCTATCTAAGCCAGTTGTCACCTGGGCCACCCCAGTGCCCACAGCCTCTCATCTCTCTCCTGCTGGGGCTAACGCTTCCCCATCTGTCCAAAAGTTCACCCAGTAAAACCCAGTTTACCAGTTTGGAGGCAGCTCAGCTTCCAAATCAGTAAAATGAGACAGGTGGTGGGGCACTGAGGGGAGGGTGTGACTGTGGCAACCCAGATTTTTATTCACCTAAACAGCTGTGGAGTTATCACTGGATCTGGCCTACCCACCCCAGAGCTACTTTCTTTCTTCTTCTCCTGGTCTCAGCACTGACCTGGTTTAGGTCAGGAAGAGTTGCTCACTCCCTGTAGTCCAGGAACTTGGCAGCAATAAAAGCTGATGTCTGGTGGCTTTCCTGCCTTTGCATATTCATTACTTTTTCTCCCCCTTTCTGGCAGTCCTGCCATTTTGCTCTATGAATTGCCCTTTCCCTTCTTTTCAAGGCACTGGGCTTTTTCTCCTCCTGCTGCATTTATTCTCTTTTAAAGTGAAGTGATATGCTGGGCAGTTCGAATATCTCACTACTCCCCAAAGTCCTGTCATCTACCATGTCCCTCCTTACAATGGAAATAGGCAAGGTAATTTAATGTCATACATCAGTGTTTGAGCATAATTTCTGTTATACTTCAGTCACTTCTGACTTACAAGTTTGGCAAGGCTGGGTTTCTTCCAGATTTGGGAAAACAGGAACACTATAGCACCTGCAGAGCATAGGAGTGCTTCAGTCTTTGAGCATGCCTAATGTCACAACAGAGGTGGTAGGAGGGTGAGGGTTTTAAAAATCTCATAGACCATAAGCAAAGGTTCCATTGAAGTCAACAGTAGTGTTACTTGACAGAGGTTGCAGAACTTGGAGACTGGTTTTATATGTTACAAAAAGGCTCCCATCTGATAAATGGTAAATATGTAGTAAAAAGGTTCTGTAACTAAAGTTAACAAAATTATTGATAAAACTCTTTGGGTCTCTATTTCAGTGTTCTATTCAGAAGTGTTGATTTAATTAGTTATATCTACGTATGGAATAACTATAGACTCCTTGAACTGCCCTGGGACTCACCATGGACGTGGTATTTGACGCTTCTGGGAGTGGACTTTGCATACTACTGCTTTCATCGCATAAGCCATGGTAAGAGTTAATGAGGTTTTCATGTATTAAAATACAAAATGTATTAATTATTTACAATTAAATGAGGTACTTGTTTTTGTTTCTGTACTTAATCTACTCTAAGTGTATATAGCTGCTCTTCCAAGGATTAGCAAAAACTCACTTTTATTTGAGCATAGAAAACAGTTTCTGCATCATACTCTGTATAATAAATGTGATTTTGTGCAAAGAGGGAGTATCATTTTGAAAGCAGTACCATAGCAAAAGTGAAGTATCATAGAAAAAAATAGGAAGTAAGTACATAAAAATTTAGGATTAGTATCCCTATATGCCTATATGAAAAATACAGCATAGTATGGATAACTGATTTAGAAGAACCTTGTGGATGTACAAAATGAAGAGCAGTAAAAAGCAAGGTGGCCAAAATAATGACAGGACAGCTGGCTAACTTGATCTCTTTCTGTGTGTTTTTGAAAATATTTTTAAATATTCAATCATTGTTTAATTGGGAAATGAATAAAAATGTTTCTATACCCTATCTGTCTATCTATATGGATGTAGATATACATGAAAGTATAAGGTATTTTAAAAATCCTGTCTGCAATTAATACTTGGCTACATAAATGTGAGTCTTGCCTTGTTTTTTTAAAAAGTACATTTTTAACCCTATTCGCTTTTATACATGAAAGACAAAAAGCAGTTTAGAAGGATTTAACTTTTATTTATTGTAACAGTGGAGCCCATATAAATCATGACAGTTATTTATGTACGTAGATATTACGGAGATGTAACAATATCAATCCCTATGTGTCTGTCTCCTTACGTATTTCTATTATATAGTGACAACATATCTTTGCTCTAACATTTTATGTCCTATCTGAAAATACAATAACACTTTCTATCAGCCCTAATTTGGGGCCTGATCTAAAGTCCGTAGCAGTGAAATAAGAATCTTGTGGTTGTTTAACAGACTTCAGACTGGGCTTCTCAAGGCACAGTGCCCACAGCTCACAAAACTGTGAGATCTAGTAATGATAGTTTATGTAATGAGCTCTCAGAAAGGGAAAATGTTTTGATGCCAATAGGTCAGCGGACTATATGGAAGTAGGTAAGAAAGGAGCCTGAGCTGCTGCGGGGAGTGGGAGAGAGGAAGGGTCCCTCCCAGGTGGGGATGGCAGGCGGGCGTGAGAACAATGCAGGGTGGGTGCAGGGGGACAACAATGGTGGGGGGACAGGGTGGGAGGCGAGGAAGCAGGGGGGAGCTGGAACAATGCGGCGGGGGGGACATCGCGGCCAGGAGCTGGGAGCCCTGCGTGGGTGTACGCGAGACTGGGAATAACGCTTCCCAAACAATGACATTAACAGTGCTGGCAGGGCTACAGCCTCAGGCTGAGATCTGGACCAGAGTGGGAGGCTATTCCTGCATTTTAAAACAAAAATAATTGCCTTCAAGTGTTAGAAAATCACTAGCCTCCCTGTGCTTTTACTGGAGTCAGTGGTAAAATTCCCACAGGCAGAGAAGGGAGCAGGGTCAGCTCCGTGCTCTCTAAAGCAATTGCATGTATTTCTGTTCCTGCAACAACTTAGCATTTACTCTCGTCTGTTTTTCTATATTTTGAAAGGATGCACACTTTGAAATAAATCTTGCTTGCAGATTTAGAATTAAAATCCAAACCAATTCTGTCTATATATCATGGAGTTGAGGAAACTGCGTAAGAAAATGCTGCTCTTGTCTTAAGAAGGTCAGCACTGAGCTATTTTATAAGTGTTCATTTACTCTTCTTCAGGTTACAGAAATATTGTTCACTGTTAGGTCTGTGTAACTCAGCAGGGAACTGATGCAACATTGTAGAAAATCACTTTAAATGCAGATTTTATCTTAACCAACACTCTTTCCTCTGGTCAAGCGATGATGAAATCCATAGGAGGGCAACACAACTGTGAAAGTCAGCTGCTTTCGAAGTTGCTAAGGAAATTTAAGTGTAGGAGATGGTTTTAAAAAGTAAAATGTAAACTCCTGAAAAATACCTTTACACTTTGAGAAGCCAGGGCAGTGGGACAGCCTCTGATACAAGCGGACAAAACACACCTTTGCATTAGAAAGTGACGGCCTGATGATTCAGGCTTGGATGCAAGAGCAAAATTAAAAATTAATAGCACATGTATATCCCAGGATATTCAAGCTGTGTGGGTTTATGTGTGGGGATGTAAATAACAGCACTAATTGTTTCAAACTGGGAAACTAAAATTCATATACATTTTGCGCTTGCTTCCTAATACTTGATATATCAATTTTGATACAAAGAAACATCACCATCATGTAGCTTTTCCTGTCTGCAAGCAACAATTTGATAACTCGAACGCCTGGCTTTTTACTACCTTATTTCATTTTCATGCAATAATTGGATTGTCCATTTTGCTATTTGAATAAACAGTCTGAATCATTACAGATCTTCTGTAGAAGAAACTTTACTGTACAATATCAAGTTTTTACCCAGCACTTGGGAAGCTATTTTTTTCTATTCACTATATGTATGCAATAGCTATTATCATAAACTGAAGTTATACAGCAACAAGAGGAAGTATTTTCAGGTGTGATCTCATTTTGCAAAGGATAGAGTTATTCTAAGTATGTGCTTGTATTTTCCATTGTTTGCAGTAGCCACTAAAAAGTTAGAAAATAAAATGTTTCACCACTTATTCCAGCATTCTTCTGGTTGTGATCCAAAAGCCATGGCAGTCAATGGGAGTACTTAGCCACTTCTTTTTCTCCTGGCATTTTAATGAATTTATAAATCAATGTAACTTTTTCCTTTGTTTCAGTAAAATCCCCCATTATGACTATACTACTAAGAAAAGTAAGCTGTAAAATCACAGGTTTTATTTTAATTTTTTTTTCAGGGAAGGATATGTGTGGGTTCGAGGGATTTTTACCAGATATTTTAATCTAGCCTACATGGATTACTCCTCAAGTTTCCTCTCCAGGTGCAGAGTCCTTGCAGAGTTACTCCTGCTCGAAAGGGGGATTTGGCGGTCCCAGAGCAGTGCCGAGCCCTAGTCGTGGTGCAGCACACCCCTCCCCGCACCCTGGCCTTGCGGATACTCCTGTTGCAGACATATGACAACGGCAGTAAGGAATTTGGAGGCTCTGTAAACTAATTTCTTCAGCAGCCACACCTTTTAATCAGGGGAGGAAATCTAGAGACTTCCAGATCCATGCAAAAACAAGAGAGACGCGCTTGTGCGGAGCCCAGGTCCTGGCTGCAGGACAGCAGGGGGTTTCGTGGCCAGCTCTGGTGTGGGGGGTTCTGCTGGGGTCAGGGCACCCCCCAGCCTGAGCAGGGCCCTTGGCAGTGGCTGTTCAACCTAAAGGTGGATAATGGGGTATAGTAAAATTCTGGTCCCCAGGGTAAGGGAGTCACTTTTAATCTACGCTCCCCAGGGGATTGCGTCCTGCAGAGCAGCATGTTTTTCTGTCAGCCAGAGGATCTCCTCTCCTCTCCTCTCCTCTCCTCTCCTCTCCTCTCCTCTCCTCTCCTCTCCTCTCCTCTCCTCTCCTCTCCTCTCCTCTCCTCTCCTCTCCTCTCCTCTCCTCTCCTCTCCTCTCCTCTCCTCTCCTCTCCTCTCCTCTCCTCTCCTCTCCTCTCCTCTCCTCTCCTCTCCTCTCCTCTCCTCTCCTCTCCTCTCCTCTCCTCTCCTCTCCTCTCCTCTCCTCTCCTCTCCTCTCCTCTCCTCTCCTCTCCTCGGCCCTGGAAGAAGCTGTCCAAGTCTGGCAGCCAGCAGGTTTAGAGAGCCTGTCTCATTTTAACTGCAGCGTCCAACACCTCTTCTTTTGTTCTTCTTTACTGCTGGGGAATTTCCATTGCTTCAGTGTCCCTCCCCTCAGAAAACCTGGGAGAAGAGAGTTTCCTTCATCAGGGCCAATCTCCGCAGCAGCTGCATTGTTCTGCCAGGGCCGCGGCGGCCCGTGTCAGCCGCTCGCCCCCATTGTCCGCCAGCGGCGTCCAGCCGCCCTGTGGGATACGTGACACGGTCCCTGTCAGCGAAAGGCTGAGCCAATATGAGCTGATGGTTTGAGTTATGCGCAGAAGTCGTAAAATAGACCTCAACTGATAAGTATATCCTCAGCAGATTCCCCAGCTGCTATATAAAATTTTGAGTTAATGGTGTGTCTCTTAATAATTCTGAGTTTATTTATGGTGGATGAGAAATAAACCTTCTACTACACCAGGTGTATTCTGGAGCAATAGACTCCAAGCTTCTCAGATTCTCCACCCCACATATCACAAGGCCAGCTTCTGAATGGTCAGAGAACAAGGAAGAAACCCTGAAAATTCACTTCAGCTTTGTTCCTCAAAAGTCTGTGCTTTGTCCCTCAAAAGTCTGTGGCAAAATGTCTCAGCTGAGGATGTTGAGGAGATTTTCTGTCTAAGATTTCCAAGAATTGGAAGTTTTGTGAACTTTTCATCTCCTGTTTTGTAGAATTTTTTAAAAAAGGGGGTTTCTCTTAGCCATGACTTACGTTGTTTCTGCCTCTTCTCCCAGTAACCATTTTTTATTACAGTTTCATAGAACAATTTCTTCAGCAGCAGAGCTGACTTCAGATGTTTCTGGCCACTCTTCCCTACACCATTCTGTAGTTCACCATCCACTCAGTTCTGAAAAAAACTTTGTGCATGGAGGCTATGTGCATAAGATCACTGAAATAGTCCATGTTTAAAAAAAAAAAAAAAAAAAAGGGTTGCATTGGGTTTCTTAAACAATTCAACTCAGTTCAGTAGTCATGAGGTCATCTTAGCCATATGGTCCTGCCCAATGGTCAGGGACATGAGCAACATAACCCAGACTTGCTAGCACAGAATCTGTGGGATAACTGGAGACTTCAGAGAGAGCAGAGAGCATTTTCTAGGTCAGTAGTGCACAGGCAGGTAACTAATCTTTTTATAAGGAACCAGAGTGGATAAATTGGGACAGGTTGTGTCTCAAGATTCATGCCATTTAAAATGACTGGAATGGTGAAC